ATCATAGGCCACATTAATGATTAAAAAAATGATAATTTGATAATTGTTGCATTGTCAAGGGGTAATTAGTTACATTTGACGACAATAAAATGTCGCAATTTTAAAATTCCTCCATCTTGTGGCAGGAAAAAGAAGAAACATCGAGAAGTTAAACATAAGCGCTCCCTTCAAAATAGCGTTCCATTCCAGGCAACATCACCACCACCTAAACTTCAATAGTGTGCTACAGAAGAACATCTAATACCTACTTGGCTAACGTTTGTTTTTGTTTGCTAATGATAATGTAGACATTGATGAACATTTGCATCAGTAACACACAAGTGTCCAACACTAGGAACAGCGGGCTTTCTATGCCACTGGATTAAGTTTCGTCATGTATTTCAAACAACTGAAAGGAAACCCATCATGATGGACACAAAAGAAAGAGCATCCGACATGCGGTAGAATGCAGCAGCTCAGTCTGCAGTTTGTACGATGACTAATGGGAAAATAGTCAGTTTTTTGGAGCTCAATTTTGTTACTGCATGCATGTTTTAAGCATGGTTTCTTCCAAAACTATTCAGATTGGATAATGTTAAGAGCCAAGGGACTTTATTGCATCCCCTCTTGTTTTCTACAGTCCTGCATTTTTATTGCAGTTAAATTCATGATATAGAAGTGAAACCCTGTGTCGAAACTTTTGATTATCCATCTGTGTACGACATGAAACACAGACAATTCTCAAGCTGCATTGGGTCTGGGAGGGAGCAACTTTGCAACATCTGGTGGCAGTGAAGAGAACAGCATGTTGGATTTTGTGTATTAGGTGCAGTTTTGAAGGATACTGTGAGCCTAAACCACTAGTTATATTTCCATGTGACACAAATGGAGCACATCAAGAGTGTCACTTTCCTTCTACCATTCACTTGAACAAAAAGGGTTCGTGCACATTCTTTGTGGGTTTCTCATTTTCTCCTGCTGCTCTCTCTCTCCTCTGTGCTCAGCCTTTTTCTTGGCAGACAGTCAGTTCATAGTTTGCTTTAAGGGGGTGGGACTAGTCAACATAGCGCTCACACATGGAATTTTTCGCTTCATACTTGCTGCAATCGGCCTGAGGAAGCACTACGAAATACAGATATTGCAGCATATTTTGGGCTTTCACTCGTGAAGGAGGAGGATGAAGCAAGGCGCTGGTGTGTGTTTAAAGGGAGAAAACTGCTGCACACAGCCCCAAACTGTAGCTGGAAACATGATTTGCCTCAAACTCAGACAAGGATTATGAGGACCTTCTTTTTACCTGCAACGAAAGGAACAAAAGAAGACTTTAAGAGGAGAATGTAAGTGTGTTAGTGTGAGCGTTGCAGCAGGGTCTTTGCTATGAAAGGAATGTTGTGTATTTTTGGGAAGGGTTGAGGAATGACAGGCTTTGAGTTCAAATAGATTTGAAGGGTTTTCTTGTTGGTACTTGTTTGTTTTTTTTTTTTGTTACAGCTTCTGTGCATGCAAGAGGAGCTCATAAAACACTGGCATGAAGTTTAAAACTACCCCGGCTGAATAGTAGGACTGTGTACTGAAATGCACTTAAGGCTGCACTTTTATGTAAACACTGGGTCTAATGACTATGATGTGATATGAGTCACTCAGAGAGACAAATCCACAGAGAATTATTGCAAACTTTGCAGCTCCCTTCACCTCTACAGATTTTTTTTGACTCTTTAAGGTCATTGTTTTGGTTTTGTGCCATGCACCTCAATTTTTCTGGTATATAAGTAAATAATTATAAGCAAAATGCACTAATAAATCATCTGTTTACTACCTGCCAAGCATGAACAAAGTTAGCAATATCTGGTGAACACAATACATTTCGCAGCTAAAGAGTCAGGTATTGTGTTGGTGGAGACCAAAATGGAGCTAAAAGGAGAATTACACTTGATTGAATAAAAAATATATATACTTCTATAGAATGCTGGTGTGTAGTTGGTGTAGTTTTACATTCCACTGACATGTTCATCACAACTTCTTCATGATCAGGAACAACTGGATGCCACACTCAAATATGGAATCCGCTCACTTGAGTTACTTGCTTATAAAAAAAAAACACGTTCTCGCTTCGAGGTTCTTTGTCATGTAACCCCCAGACTCTACATCTTGATATGAAAATAAAACTCATTCTTCTAGGCTCTGGGAAGGTGTAGCAACTATGAAGCCCCCAGAGGTAAAAAAAACCCCAAAAAAACAGCCATAACAGAAAGAATAAAAACTGACCTTGGCGCTGTCTTGTGAACAGTTTTACAGATACTTCTCTTAAAATGACGGTCAACAGGAACAATGCATTTTGGGTCACGTTTCTTTTTTCATTGCACTCACATTAACTCTTAACTCAAAAGTAGCATTAGAAATGACTTTACTCAGGTCATGAAACTGTTGAAGAAACAACATCCAAGCAGAATTTGAACATGGATGCTTGTGGTGATGTTGCCTTCACTGTACTCCGCCTCGAAGCCAAAACACAGCAGCTGCATAATGTGATTAAAACTAAGCAATTAAAGTGTCGGAGTTTGTCCGATCCTGCCACAAAAAACATCTACTATGGACTTTTTTTGAGCAAGATAAACAAGAATTTCAGATAAAACTGCACCTACAATGGGGTTAAGCGAGTAAATGGGAACCATGATAAAGTCTTCTGTGATGCTCTCCACCCAACATACATGCATGTTTTCAAGCCAGAATCAGATATGGTAATGGTCTTAGTAGAATAGTAACAGTTGTCTGCAAAGAGAGTAACTAGTGGTTGGGAACTATCATGTCAGTTGTGGTTAAACACCTTTAAATCAAACAGTTAAATACATATTACTAACCATACAAGATAAATTTATTAGTACTAGTATGCAATTATTTGATCATTTGACTGTAAGCATCCTGCCAGAAGGCCAGTGAAGGTCACTGGCTACACCTGTGCAACTTCCTATTTACCAAAAACACAACAAATGCTGGTTACGATAACCAGTTCTGCTCCTTTTTTTTTTTCCTGTCTTGCAGGCTCAGCTTCAGGCTTGCCTACATTTTCTCATATAACCTCTTCCAGTTTTGTGGTCATACATGGATACTGGCCAACACCATCGCCAGGTTTTTAACATTTGGTCAAGGTGAGGCTGAAGATCAGTGCAAAAATAAAGTATGTTTGTGATTGTTGTCAATTCCAATAAAAAAGGTAAATAACAAAGACCGACTTTTTAAATCATCACTGGTTAGTAAGAATAACCTCCATCCAATGATTCACATGATAAAGTGCCTTTTTTTGATTTTGCAGATGCTTTAGCAGATACATTTTACTCCGTTGGGTTTGTGATGAGTCTCTGCCAGCTGCTCTCTATCCTGGAGCTTTTTCATATCGCAGATGGGATTGAGAAAGCCAGACTCCTTCCTCGTTTATTCCAAGTGCGTATCACAGCTCATCAACAAATGCAATCTTATCATTAATCAAGTAGACGTTACCAACATTTTTGCATGCCATTGTTTTTTTTTTAGGTTATGGAGAAGAACCTCCTGTTGATCATGGTCATCAAGCTGGAGGATATTCAGAGTAAACCAGTTGTGTGTGTGCAGTTCTTCCTGTGGAACATTCAAGACCTCTTAAGGTACGCAAACAGGCGGTTACAGGTCTGACAAGGACGTAGAGCTGCACTTCTGTCAGATTTTGTAACGTATAAATATTCATTGCACAACCAAAATAAGTAAGATATCGTAAGCAAGGTAGCTTTCAAAGACATTTGCCTTAGTCATCCTCAGAGACACATCTTAATGATCTTACTGAAAAATACAAGCTGCTAAAAAATTACATTTCTAAACATGCTATAGTATTTTATTATGACACCATCTTGTAATAACAAAATCATCCACTTTGCGTTTAATATGAAACTATTGAGGAAAATCTCAAGTGAACAGAAAATAAATCAGGATACAGCTACCAAGGTGTTAAAAAGGTGTTCTTATTTATAATGCAAATTTCCTAATAAACCTTTACAGTACTTCGACTAATAGTCCTGCCATGCCTTTAAGCTCCTCTAAAGTGCATTTACACTTGAACTGACATATCAATTCATTACGTACACCTGGAATCTCTCTCTATCCTTCAGAAAAGCTTCAATAATATCTATTAAGGGATTCAGACTTGTTATAACTGATGTTTTTGACCACTTGGAGAAGCGATTGCGTACTCCTGACATAAAAGTACAATGCTCATGCTCTTTTTGCTCCGTGTTTGGTCTCTACCAACTCCAGAGGGAAATATTTTACTACTGAGCTGCCGAAATGCTTCAGTGTATATTTACCAGGTCGTCTCTGGCAAGCAGACAGTTAGGTTTTATACCCATAAAGCTAAGCAATAAGCTCAAGTTGGGTCTGCACTCTACAGCAAACAGAAATGTCGCTGGGTCAGATGTGGGTCAAGTCAGACTTTTACAAAAATGTCCATATTTACTTTTGTAGCCGTTTGATGTATTAGTAGAATTTGTTTTATATGTTAATATTTTTAAAATGATTTGATCTGTTAATGACCTTGGTCATGGCCAACCCTTTCACAATATTTCACTTGTTGGAACTTGTAAAAAGACTAATAACATTGTTCTGACTTAACTGGCTGCACTGGTTATGTCAAACAGACATAAATAGGCAGGCATCTACAGCATTGTCCAGATGCTTTAGGTAATAAAGTGAGGATAACACAATAATATGCAATACTTCAATTAATAGGTGGCTTTTTTTTCTTGAAATAACGTAATTCACAGAGAAATAAAGTGGGGAAAAAAAACTACATCAGCATTTGGGGTGAACATTCTTTACCTTTAAAACAGCAAAAGTTTTATTTGGTACTGTTAAATTTGACTTGCAGACCGGTTGTTCAGCACTTTGGAGAACTTGCCACAGTTTATCTGTTTCTTCGTCTCATCCTAGAGATGAGATCAGAACTTTGTGGGGAGTCAGACCGTCTGTTCCACGACTGCTTGTTCTTATGACTCTGGCTGTAGAATGAATCTAGAACAGATCAAATGTCTCCCTGATGTCACTAGTTATGGATATGTAACCAGACATCTATTGTGCCTACACCCTTTGCAAAGTATTGCATGTAAATGATTACAGCAGCAAAATGCACACATCAGCCACAACACTGAAACCACCACCTGTCTGATCTGTCTAATGATGTGTAGGTTTCCCTCATGGGACTAAAATGCCTCTGATCTATCGTGATATGAATATTGGATCTCTTGGGCTGTCCTGTGGCGTCTGGCATTAGGACATAGGCAATGGATCCTTAGGGTTGTGGTTCTTGTGGGTTATGGTGTAGGGTCTAGCTGCTCAGTCAAACTGGGATCTTGGGAGTTTAGAAGCCAGGTCAACACCTTGACCTTTTTGTTGTGTTCTTCAAATCGTTCCTGAGCAGTTTATGCCCTGTGACAGAGCGAACTGTCTTGGTGGGGAAGGCCAGTGCCATTTGGGTGTTCCACTGCTACAGGGTGTGTGATTGCCCTGCAACAATGTTTAGTAGGTGGTACATGACAAAGTAACATCCATGTGAATGCCAGGAGCCAAGATTTCCCAGCAGAATATTGGACTGCAATGATATAATCAATGTGATTCACCTCACTTGTCAATGGGTAATTGATATTAACGAAAACTGAATTGGAGTAATTATGGAGTCCCTCTTCAAGACGGGGTGATTTTCCTCCGAAAGTTCCCGGAAGTATAATTTTGTCACAACAGTTTCATTTCCACCTCAGAAACTTTCCCCATGGACTATGAACGTTTTAAAGTACTCAGTTCCTCTATCAGCATTTCCACTAGAGGAACCAGAATTGAGATGAAGTTCCAGAAGACTGTTTTGCCCCCTACAAAGTCCCTGCTTGGAGATTTTTAGACAGTTCAAGAACTTTCAGGATGTGGCTTGTCTAAATGACTGTTGTTGACTGATCAAATATGCCAGCGTTTGTACCAAAAATTGTACGATTGGCATTTTAAAAAACTGACAACTACAAGCTTCTTTCATTTATTGCACATCTACACAACAGCAAATCCTACGAAAGACGAACCAACGATGGGTTGTTTATGTTGAGAAACACTTAAGCAGAAAGCGATCTGCAACGAGAAGCTCTACCTTACAATTTACTTAACGTTGTCAATTTTTTTATATTGTCCCTTTTTAAAATGGAATTTGTCGACTTTCCCTCATCTTTGTGGGGGTTTATGCATTGAAAAAACAGATAACAAAGAACTGAAGGAAGCTTTAAGTTCCTCAACGTTAGTCCCTGGATTTTGATCTGGAAAGATTCTCAAATTAGTCCAGTGACATATCAAAAGCATGATGGTCTCAGATTTTCTCTGAATGTCGTTCTGAGGCACAAATGGACAACAAAGCCTAAACTGTGACATCAGCTGTCATTGAGTATTTTCTCCATCCTTAGTATTGCCACAAACTCTAAGCGAAACAACTACATTGCAATTTGTATGTATCTAAATTGAAAACCTATTGTGTGACACCGTGCCCGTTCAAAACCATGGTTAACATTTTGGAATTGTGTGGTGACAGGTACCCTCATGAGCTGTTGTGTGTGATGGAAAAACCCTCCATCGCTATGCTGTGGATTCGGTACACACTCTGGATCCCCTTATACATCCTGTCAGTCGCCACTGAAGGTAACAAAATGAGCTTTAATCGACTTCATTCACACCATCATATTGTGAGACCTCAGTACATTTGGGAGTCATTTATTCTCAACAATATGAGCTTAACATGAGTCAATGGCCGGCGTTGTGTAAGGGAAGTGGTGGGAGCATACAGGAAACGAGTTGGCAAAGCAGAGCAGATGATAAAATGTCAGGAAGTGTGTGTGAGGAAAGCACATTCCAGGCGAGTGAGTGTGACATAGCACTGCTGTTATACATATTATCAGCACTGCACAGGCAGAGCAGTCAGACAACTACTGTCCACACCACTCAAAACACCAAAACCACTGTTATATGTGTCAGCATTACTTCAACATCTAATTATTTCTTTGTGCTCTTCAGGTGTCACTATTTACGAAGCCCTGCATTACATCGAGCAAACAGCCTCCAACCCTTCAACAGTGTCTCCGTATGTTCACTTCCCTTTGGTGCTGATGCTCTACCTGCCCGTTCTTGCTCTTGGTAAGATGAACTAGCCACACTATGTTAATTAACCAGGTACTGCATAGCGGAGTCCTGTCGTTTCAGGCACTTGTGAGGTGATCGAGGGCTAAAACGAAGGCAGTCAGATCGGCTTCTTGAAGACGTTTCACCTCCAATCCAAAAAGTTTTTCCCAGTTTGAAGCCTAAATTTTACGAAATCAAAAATGTACTTTTGAATATCTCATTGTGTTTGTAATAAATCATCACAACTCGTGCTACCACCAGATGTCCATCCAAGTTAAGAGGCCGAACTAAACGAAGTCATTGGTGTTTAGGTCAAAGTTGTCATGAGGTTATCAGATTCTTGACACAATGTGAGTTAAAGTCATGTGACCAGAAATTTGCTGAGTCAGGACTTGTGTTTCAAGCAACTCCAACAAAAACGCCTGAGACGTATGAATAGCAGCTACTATAATACCACAGTAGGAACAAATTTATCTGTCAACACTATTTAGTTTTACCTGCTCAACTTCAGCAAGTACATTAGTTTGTTTGCAGCAGAATCTACCTGTAACGTAAGGCAGCACTCACAAGTTTGGACACATCATCCAAAGGTTTCCAGAGTGGTGCGTCAGTGGTTCTGTCTGAGTTACTAGCTCCAGCACCACTACGCTGCCACTATCAGGCCCTCAAGCAAGTTCCTTAACCCCTTCATCTCCAGGAGCACCTTGTCATGTATGAGCCTGCACTCTGACCCCAGAAAACAAGAATTTCACTGCGTTTGTAATGAATTTCAAGGAGAAGATTTTGTGCTTCTCTGTATAATATGTTACGGTTTTTATCTTACTATGTAAACTGTCCTGAAATTACATGTTTCAATTTTATGCTGCATGGATCAAAATGAATTGAATTGGAAAAATAGCTGTAATCAAAGTAAACAGTGGCCAATTTAAAGAATCTAAAATTTCAAGTATTGATTATGCTTTGTTTACATTTATTTGCTTTATATACATGAGTGTTACTTTATAGTTTTGCAGTCACTTGTATTGTCACACTATGTAGGAGATAGTAGCAATAATGAAATTGAATGTGTCCAAACTTTTGACCGGCATTCTATGCTAGCAATATATGCAGTACCGACACTGTTTTGTCAACTTTCTAAGAGCAGAACTGTCTTTCCAGGAGCCTCTCTAACAGTCTGGCAGCTGTTGAAGGAGAGACAACACCACCTGGAGAAATGGAACAAGAAGATGAAGAGGAAATGAAGCATTTAGTCAAAGAACTGACTGAACAGTTTACGCCTTCTAGGAAAAATACAATAAGGAATATAAAAACCTAAGTCTTTGTTTTATCTCAGTGGGTTTGATGTCATGGAACTTAAGAGAAGAAGAGGCACAAAATCATAGTTTCTGTGGCACTTTTCATGAATATTGAAAGTTTGACTGAGCACATTCCTCTTGAATATGTGATTGAAGTGAAGCTACAACAGCAGTTTCTGGTTAAGCTTCCAGATGCAAACGTCTCAACTTCCTCCAGCGCTGCGTCCGTGTCCAACGAGAACAGGCAGCAATGATGCAGCTCGACTGTCAAAAGCTGCGTCTTTTGTGAGGACCCCATCCGTGCACGTTACCGCGGCAACAGCATGTCGCGGCTCCTCCGGCCTACCAGCCATAAGCTCTGGTCCACACGGCTTTCTTCTTGAACTCGGCCGATGACTTCAGAGCCAAGAGAGCAGCTGAAACAACAACCCACGGACCATCAGATGAACCACTCGGGACTTTTTAGTCTGTTTTAACTTCTGCACAAAGAGGTGTTGTTGTGAATGAACGATGTAAATGTTAGGAGAAACGACATCCATGTGTGTGTTAGGTTGTAACTGTGTGGATACCAACATCAGTGTTTCATCCTCTCTCAGTGTTTCTGTCAAATAGTTCTGTTTACAATTAGTTTTTCTGGCCAAAACCTACCGTGTATATCCAGTTAAGTCAAACAAAACATCCAAATGCATTTCCTTTTTTTCTGAAGATATTTGTAAAGACAATTATTTGTATCTTTTGAAACCTGCACAGTTTACATAACGGCTGTATTACAAGAAGTGGACACCAGACTCCAAGATGACGTCTATTCATTCCAAAGGAAGCTGCAGATTTGGACTCCGACTTGAAAAACACTCAGAACATTAAAGGCATTGTTCTGCTGTTTGACAAGTATAGTTTAAAAAAAAAACAAAAACTGAAACTACTGAGTTTCTGAGGGAATCATTTGGGTGTGGTGCAGATTCCAGTTGTTTTATGAGGAGCTATGATGTGAGATTTCTGCAGAAGCACTGAATCACTGAAGACTTTGCATTTAGAAAGTGTGTCATCATTTTGACTTTTAGTTTCAATTGTGTTGTCAATGTGGGTTTTCTGTTTCAAATATAACTGCGATATTGCTGCACCATGATGTAAATAAATTCCAGTTTCTCTCGTAACAGGAATTTTTCTAATGAATACATGGTCACTTTTATTTATTTAGAGTTATTTCTTTGGCCTTTTTGCCTTTATTGTATAGGACAGTGAAGAGAGAGACAGGACAGTGGGGGACAAGAATGGGGGAAAGACTTGCAGCAAAAGGTAGCAGCTGCTTTGTATAAACGGTAAACAGAGCTGTAGAAGCAACAATCCATTTAGTTGTGTTTTCCTTGTGCTTTTGAGATGCATCGAACAGAGTGTAATCTGTGAATGTCTCTAGTTAGAGTTGTTGGGTTTGTGTCGATTACCTTTGGCTGTGTTGACAGTTGTGGCTGACAGACTCTCTTCAGGACCTTCTGTGATGCTGAGCAGCCAGTCTATGAACTGAGACGCACAACACAAGAGCAAATATGCATACACACTGTCATCAGAACTGGACCTGAAACTACATTGAACAAATGCCAGATCCACAAAACCACGTCTCCGCTCACCTTGTTTGTTTGGCCGCTCCAGGGTTCCTTGTCCAGGAGCAGAGGCAGGCTGTGGGACACTCCCAGCAGGCACCGCGGCAGGACGTGGTCGACGAGCAACTCCTCGCCGTACAGACCGTGTGTCAGCGCTGGAGGTTTGGACTCCGGTTGCCATGGGAACCACTGGGCCCTGATGCCGAAAAGCAGGGGCATGGAGTGGTCGCCCCAGGAAACGACAGCGGCGGCAAAAAGCTGGAATAGGAAGTCTGTGGCCTGCGGAGAATACAGCTTCATTAGGTCGGTACTGTGTGTTTAACCAGGTTTCAGGAATTTTCTCTACGACCTCCTGTACACCAGGTATCTGCAGATAAAACACGACGAGCAGCAACTGACATTTTAAACCATGTCTTAGCTCTTTTACTTTGACAACACTGGAGAGCCTGAAGATTCCAGGAATTTTAGAGAGTTACTACAAACATTAGCGTGAGGTTTAACTGACCAACACTTCTGGGATTTAAATCACATGTAAGTGCAGGTATTTGTATTGCAATTAGAAGTAACAGCAATTAAATTAAGCAGCATTCACAACAAGACTCCTTTGTATATCCAGAGACTCAGAGTGCAACATTAGCACTCACCTAAAGTGAAGTCCAATCTTCACTCTCCTTTTAAATCTGTTTTGTTGCAATAAGTTCACCAGCTGGTTGCTGTGTGTGTCTGCTGTGTGGTGCTGGGTAGGAAAATGCTAAAATTCCCTGAACCCCCCACCTCGTCACATTACACAGTGATTTTTGTTTTAATTGTTAACAAAAAATGACATTAGTGCCACTTTAAAAACACCATAGGAAGCAAGAAAAGTAAGAAATAGCTCGTTTCCTGATGAAGTAAGAAAAGTGATGAGAGCCCTGTGAAATATCATTTTCAAAACATATGATTCCAAACTGTTTAATCTCTTAATGAGTAATGCACATTTCTAAGTTGACAAATAGAATATTTCCTCTTGTGAACGATTAAAAACAAATACTTCAGAGACTATATAAAAAAAAAAAACAGGCCTTAAAGTAGAAAATCAACGCCACAAAACTGAGTACACTTGTGACTTCCAGTTAGCTGGACTGCATAAATATGTACAATAAACTGACCTGTGAACACAAGAGTTTTCTCAGTTCTGCACCTGTGGGTTGTGCATGTCTCCATAGTGAAGACACACAGTGAAGCACGGAGGTGGTATTATGACGACACTGGGCTGCATGTGTGCAAAAGGTGTTGTATAGATGGCATTTATAGACGTCGCCGTGAATCGAATTCAACTC